TTTTTATAGTGGTTCGGATGCTCAACAAGTGACTCCTACATCCACTGTTATTTTATTGATCTCTGACTATTTCTATGATATTGCCCAGAAGGCATACAAAGATGAAGAAATACAGTGTTTACAGAGAGAGAATGAAAATGAAGCTCAAATCTCAGCCCAGCCCTCTTCTTCGGGAAGAGAATTGCCCATTTATACACCTTTGCACTCAATGTAATGAGTATTTTGCAAGTTGCCTTGACACATGGAAGGCTCTCGTCCATTCATGTCTTGAAAGGAGATATGGTTGGTGAGAATACCTTTGGAGATATGGGCTTGGCAGCTGGTACAAGAATACATTAAATGAGCTGACATGGGCGTGACTTTTGAGGCATAACACTAGATAAAAAGCATTTTTAATCATTTCAACAAAATAAAGATTTTTGTCCCTTTTATTGCCCTCTATTGATGTGGGTAAATGTTGGACAAAAAACATTTTTAATCATTTCAACAAAATAAGGATTTTTAAATAAAGAAATAGGAGAGCCCGTATATGAATTATTTTATGCACTCTCGTGCTTTGACTTTATTGTATTGTCATGTTGAGAAAGTTGAGGATTGTGGATTAAAATTAAGTTGAGTTTGAATTTGCTTACCGGGTCCGGTTGAAGTTGAATTGGATTGGCGGAACTGCTACATATATTGGGGGTGCTTTTTTCCAGGTGCTGTCGTATCGTCAAAGTCTCATTCTCAGCGTCGATAACGGTTAGACAAAAATTATATTCCTCGCACGTCTCTTCCTCCAACCCATTTGGCTTTAGCCATTTTGATTTGGTGAAGAATTGTCATACCCCGGACATGACCCTCTTTGACGGTCAGGCTGTGGAGTTGCAGCTCGCTTGTATTTGGTTGGACCCAGTCCCAACCGTTTGTGGTTGTGAAATTGCAGTTGTTACCTTTGGAAATGGTGAAAATAGATCAAACCCTTTCATTTCTTCAGTGAATGGAATGTAAAACTCATTTGAGAATGATCCTCCGAATGCATAATTTCAAAAATTCATTATGAATTTATGAAAAAATAATAAATAATTAAAATGAAAGAAATTGAATAATAGATGAAATTGAAAAATGTAAGAAATTGAAAAATATGAATAAATGTAAATATAAATTGAATTGAAGAGAATTGGAATAGAGAGATTGAGAGTTGAGTTGTGAAAGAAAATGCTGGTTTGGGGGTTAATTTATAGTTGAGGTTTAGGGGGAAAGTGAAAAAAAAAAAAAAAAAATTTCCTCCCCACATGACTATTGGCCGCTCAACGATCAACTAGCCGTTGAGCAGCCAACAGTCGAATCAATTAAAATTTTTTTGGTAAAATATCATTTTAACTCCAATTTTTATTGTCTATTTTATAAAAACGACAGGGTTTTTTTTTTTTTTTTTTCAAGGGTTTTTTTAAGAAGGGGAAAAAGGTTTGAGATCGATCCTAAGCTTAGGGCCTTGGAGGAGGGACCGAACCATGGCTCGAGCCCTCCTCCATGGTCCTGATTCGGTTTTAGGATCAGACCTTCTAGAATCAGTTTTTTGGGTCGATCCCAAATTCCCACCTCTATTGAAAACATCTTAAATCTATAACCAATTAAGAATTAAGTCATTAACGTTTAAAAATTCATTTATATTTAATTAATTAATTAAAAATTTTACAAATTACCCCTAAAAAAATACATAAACCCCCTACATAGTTTTGATTAAGTCCCTAAATAGATATAAAATTGGGGGGGGGGGGGAATGAAAATTTTTAGGCCCATGGGACTGGTCCCAAGAACCGGTCCAGGCCTTGAAAGTTTTCATGGGCCTATGATCGATCCCAAGCCCATTTGAGATTGGTCCCAAATGGGACCTGTCCCATTGGGACCGAGCCTAAACCTGAGCTCGGTTGGGTCTGGTCCCTGCTCACCTCTAATACCCTCCAGCTTATCAAGTTGCCCCTTCACTTGACAATCGATGACAATTGGTGGAGGGGCATCATTTACAATAGTTTTGTCTAGATCTATGTTCAGATTGCAAATGTGGGTTGATTTTTTTTTTTTTTTTTATTGATGATTGGAAGTGTTCGAGCCAAGTTGCGCGTACTTCAGCTAATCTCCTAGGTTCTAAAATGAAAGATCGAGTAAATCCTCTAAGTGGTCACCTCTATTAATGTTTGGAGGGATTTGAACTCAAGAACTTATATTAAATCTCTTTGCTCTTTTATCATCAGGTCACTTAGTGGTGCTTCTGTACTTATGTCGGTTGATTGTTGATGTTTGATGGGTTGTTTTAGTGGATTTAAGTGTTGCAGTGCTTCCGGCAGCATGGCTGCCTAATAAATTCCACAGAATATTTTTCTTTTATGCTTTTAAGTTTAATTTTATAAAAAAAAAATTGTTGGATAATGATAAAGGTTTAGTTAGATATAATTATTTAATGAATTCTCTAGGAAGACTTGACAGTTACTCCAACTTTGCTTCTGATAGAATTGGAGCCTGGAGTCCTGGACAACAAAGGGGTACGGATTTTTTGTTTTTTCTATCTTGGGCCATTCGCCACTATTAAGCCTCATATTCCATCTATTTCCCTTCCTGACTTCTGACATCTGTTTTTGTTTTGCAGATTGATATGATGACTGACAACTATGGTGGAAAGCTCTTGCTCCATAACTTAAATTTGCTGAACTAGGCTCTTCTGTTTTATATGTTCAGTCTATACAAGGAGTCAAGGATCATAGAAGTAAAATGAGATATAATTTGTTTGTGTTGCCACACCTACATCGTCTTAAGTAAAAGAAATATATTTTCTAGTTCCAAGCTTATTCTTTGATCAAAGGTAAACACTCTATGATGAAGACAAATCACCAAAGATACAAAGGATTAAAATTTTGGATTAATGAGATTCTTTTCACAAGCTAACCATCATGCATGTTGTCTATTTGGTGGAGTCTAGTTGGCTAAATGGGCGGCAGAATTGACTGTATAAAGCCTTTGTTTAAAAATATTGAGAGAATTGCTAATAAGATTTTGTTGCATTTGATTCTTTAATTTGTTTATTCACTTTGTATTTGTAGTTTAATTTTTTTTTATAATTTAAATGAATCACTTTATTATTTAATTTTTCAAAGTGTTTTTACATATATCAAACGAAATGTATTATATATTACACAAAATATAAGTCACATGTTTATGCATGCAGGACAGGCACATGTTACCTTGTGGAAAGTGTTTCATAACACATCCCCACATAAAATTGCATTTGGCTTTAAAAACCCGAATGGATGATTTAAAACCATGTTGTTGTTAAAAAATTTATTGAAGTAACACATTGATCCATGCCCTTCTACAATCAAAAATGTACTCTTAGATGAGATCAAAGGGTGTTTGATTGAATGAATTAGTTGTTCACAGTATATATTTCTGAAATGATGTCACATTATTTAAGTACCAACTTGAAATGTTTAGGGTGCGTTTATTTTAGTATTTTTGATATTTTTAGAGTTTGGTAAGAATAACGAGGTAAGATTTAAAAATTAATAAAAACACCCTCCTAAGTTTGTTAATTTACTAAATACATTTGTAATAAAAACATTAAAAATTACAAAAAAACACCCCCACCCACCCATTAAATACTGCAACCGGCCACCACCGCCGGAGGGTGGTCGGAGTCACCATATCGATGCATGACTGACTGGATCTGACTGATCGTGCGCCCAGATGACCTTTTTCAACCAAATCCACTGTGGATCTAGTTGGAAAATGTCAGATCTACGACCAAATGACCAGATCTGACCATGTTTGGTCGTCAACGATGACCAAAGATCTAGTCGTCAACAGCCAGATCTTTGACCGTTGATTTGGCATTTTTCAGCTAGATCCACAGAAAATGATAGATCGACGCACTACTGGCTAGATTCGACTAGTAATACGCCATTATACCAGATTCCGACCACCTTCCCACGGTGATGGCCAGAATTTGGCAAATATAGGTAGGTGGAAGTGTTTTTGTCAATTTCTAAACTTTTTTTGGGGAGGTGTTTAGTTAAATTAATAAACTTAAAAGATTTAAAAATAATTAAATATAATATAATAATATTTTCAGAATAGGGAAACAAACCGGTATTTTGGAAATAGTATGAATAAGATAGTAAAAACTAATTAAATATAATATAACAGTATTTTCAGAATAGGGAAACAGAACCGGTATTTTGGAAATAGTATGAATAGGATAGTAAAAAATATTAAACCAAACAGACCCTAAATATTATTTTTCAGTTTCAAAACCAAAATTTCATACGCTCGTTAGTTATTCATATAATGATGCCATCAGCAATGGACATGGAAAATTGCCACTTAGTCAACAAAATTGAAGAACCCTGTATGCCATAAAAACACAATAAGAGTCCAAAAAGTTAGCTAAATCTGTGATGCCAAGCGTAAGTTCGGGGCAAAAGATATTTTGACAATTTTTTCCCAACAAGGAATGTGGGACTTGAATCAATAGTAGCTTTGGAAGTGATGACAATGGTAACTTACATTCTGCTTGAGCAATGTCACAATGAGATGACAGGAAAAGGACCAAAAGAAGATTACTACTTAAATATTTGGAACGTGAGACTTGAATGGACAATCTAAATAGAATGTATTATTAAAACCTCCTATGAGCATTAACATGTTTCAAACTCTAAGCTATAACTCAACTACGGTAACCTAAAGTGAAGTGAAAAGATAAAATCATGTGATAGCAGGTAATGACTAGCACTACATTCCTACACATTGTTCATTACTATAAACCCATATGAGCAAAAACTGCAATTCTACCATCTCCATGATCAACTTAATAAAATAGCATACACAACACAGAGCAAATTGACGCATCCTGCAACTCAAAACCACACTGATGGTGAATTAATAAAGGAAAACCAATTAACCTACATAAAGATCCATCGAATTGATTAATAAATATTAAAACCAGATGACCAGCATAAAGATCCATCTAATCACAAACTCCTGCATGAAAAGATCTTACTCAGGACTGAGAAGTTCTTTAGTATTACACTTGATTTCTATGTCGAATGATTTACTGTAACTTACAGAGTTATTCACATCCAAATGCACCAAAATCCTCTTCAACACTTTTAATAATACATACTCTATGTCTAACAACTTCATTATCAAAAATGGGGGAAATTAACACTGATGAATCATGTTTAATTTATAGTCTACATATGACAAATGAAAAATCGCAAAAGAGAACAACAAAAATTCAAATGAGAACATACCCATCTGCAAGTACCACTAAAAGCAACAGGAACAATCAAATGGACAAAGCGGAGTGTTTCCAGCATCAGAATTATTGATACCCAACTCCTCTTCAGTGTAGATAGTAAACCCATCTTCAGTTTTCTTCTTAGGCCGAGAAGGAGCATCTGCGAAACCACCCTCTGCAACTCCTTTACTCTTATTTTCTTTCTTCCTTTTCACCAATTTTGTTTCACCAGATTCATCTTTATTTGACTTCTGGGATTTTTTTTCTTCAGGTTTCTTCCTTTTTTTACCAGCGAAAATTTCATCAATCTCATGACTGACTTTTTTAGACTTCGAAGAAGGCTTTTCATCAATCTCTTTACTTCCTTTTTTTGACTTCGAAGAAGGCTTTTCATCTTCTACAGGAGCAATTTCTTGCGTTTTTTCAAGTACCTTGCCAGATTTAGATTTTCTAGGCATTGAGCTCAGATTTAAGCTGCAAACCCATCAAAAAAATGCGGAAATTATTAGATAAAACCATTAAAACTGAATTTGATTGCTGACAAAATGCAATATAGACGTCAAGGAGGGAAATTTAAGCATCAAACGAACAAGCACTTTCATTGCAAAGCTTATAAACAAAACAAATTAAATGAGAAACACATCGCCCATTGAAAATAATAAATTAGAGTTCAGAACATTTTGTGATAACTCAAAAGGAATTCAGAAATCAACTCTAAAAAAAAAACATTAACTGAGAACTTCCTTAAATAGAAAAAAAAATTACCTTAAATATTAAAGAATGAATTGTGAGATTCAACCACTGAAGCAGAGAATTTCGAAACGGAAAGAAATCCAGAGAGAAGAGGGTGGCTTAAACCTTAAACCCTAGCTTTACTGGGAAGGGAGGCAGTCTTGTCAGATAGAAGATGAGGGCGATTGAGTGGGCTATAATGAAACTAAATCTTTTATATGGGCCAGATGTTAAGCCCAGTCTCAATCACGCACTATATCAGTCTGCTTGTGACCGTGAGGACTCTTGAGTGCATCAGGGTCCTGCGGCTGCTATGACTATCATCTTCAACGCCTCCGCGCGGAGGTTCAGTCGCACAATCTCCCGTTCGTGGTAATGCCATCTGTCCTTTTGCCGCTTATACGTCATTTTTGGGCTTTATTATGAATCAAGCCAGTGCCAATTCGGTAACAGTATCTTAGCTGATTATTTCGTTGTCAAAAATTGTACAAATTTAACTTTACGGACGTTCGGTTTAAGAAATGTTAGATTACTGAAAAGTTAGTTTATCTTGAAGATTATTGGGGATTTTAAGAAAATATGTTTGGTTAATTGATGGGTATGTTATATTAATATATTTGGTTGGGAGGAATAAATTGGTAGATACGTTATTTAAATTACTGAATTATCCTCTATTTAAATATTATAATTATATTATTTTTTTAATATTAATAATTATTTGATTATTATAACCCCCTGCATTTAAAAACTTAGCAAAAACAACCCTATAATAAAAGTTTAGAAAATCAATAAAGCACCCCCACCAACCCAGCCACTATCGGCAGCCGACAACCTAATGACGCACGGAAGGCGGGAAATGGCCTCCGTGCGCCGTATGGCCATTTCCGGCCATAGATCTCGCCATAAATGGCCAGACGTGATAGATCTGGTCGTTAACGGCCAGATCAATGACGGATCTGACCGAAAATGGCCATATCGGCGCACGGCGGCCATTTTCGGCCTTTCGTGTGCTGTTCCGGCGGTGGCAGGTGGGTGGCGGTGGCTTGGGTGGGCTATAATTTGTTTGAATTCAAGGGTAATTTTGTCCAAAAAGTTAATTAATTTGGGTGAAATAGTAAAAACTATATTCATGTAAATAAATTAAAAAAATAAGGGCATTATTGTCCTAAATTTTTATTAATAAGGGATAAAATTATAACAAAAAATAATAATAAATAACCCTGGTAATCTTAGAATACCTAAGAAAATTGAGGTAATCAGATTACCTCCAATATTACCAATAGTAACCACTAATGGTATTTGAAGATTACCGGTATCTTATATTACTTGACAACTAAACATGGTAATCAAGTAATATAAGATGACTTAACCCCAGTAATCTTCAATAACCCCCAACCAAACGCCCCTTGAAGATTACTGAGAATCTTTAGGAAAATGTGTTTGGTTAATTGGTGGGTATGTTATATTAATATATTTGGTTGGGAGGAATAAATTGGTGGGTATGTTATTTAAATTACTGAATTGTCCTCTAATTAAATATTATTATTATATTATTTTTTAATATTAATTATTATTTGGATTATATAACCCCCATGCATTTAAAAACTTAGCAAAAACAACCCCATAATAAAAGTTTGGAAAATCAACAAAGTACCCCCACCAACCCAGCCACTGCCGGTCGCCGGCAACCACCGCAGGCCAGAGATTTGGCCGAAAATGGCCATACATGACAGATCTGACCGTCAACGGCTAGATCGATGACGGATTCGGCCGTCAACAGCCAGATTCGTCTATCTGGCAGTCATGATATTTTATCAAAAAAAATTAATTGATTTGATCGTTGGTTGCTTAACGGTAGCCGACCATTGGTTGCTAGTTGAGCAGTTAATGGTCAACTGATTGTTAAGTAGCCAACAGTCGTGGGGGGGAAGTTTTTTTTTTTTTTTTTTTTTCACTTTCCCCCCCAAACCTCAACTATAAATTAACCCTCATGTAAACGAAAGAATAGGCTGGAAAAATATTTTATATTTCTTGTGTCTTGCTTGAATTATAATATCAACATATATAAAGAATTTACATGAGAAGATAAGTACCAGTTGTACAAGATAGTAATAAGAATAACAAGAACGAGATAACACGATAAGAAACCTAAAGAAGATAAAGATAAGCAGTTGTTGAGATTTGAATGAAGATAGGTAAAGATGTTGTGATTTGAATGAAGATATAGATAAGGCTTAAAAGTCGTAGTTTGTCTTGGTGTCGTTCAAAGAGTCTACGTCCTAGCGGCTTGGTAAAGATGTCATCAAGCTGGTCATCAATCGAAATAAATTTAACTTGAATCTAGCCTTGAACAATCAGTCCGCGAATAAAATGATAGTCTAATTCAATGCGCTTTGTACGAGCATGAAATATAAGATTAGAAGTTAAGTAAATTACTCCAATATTATCAACAGTAACCACTATTGGTATTGAAAGATTACCGAAATCTTATATTACTTGACAACCAAACATGGTAATCAAGTAATATAAAATAACTTAACCCTAGTAATCTCATATAACCACCAACCAAACGCCCCCTTAAGGTAATCTATATTTCCATTAATATAACTTTCCTAGTAATACAACATTCCATAACTAAACTAAGCCACCACCGCCGACAGCGGCCAACCACCACGGACTGCTGCCAAAAACTCGCCGGAGTCCCTAAAAAAGAACGAGTTTGGGTGGGAGGCTCCGGGAGGCTTCGATATGGTCGTTTCCGGCCATATATGGCCAGATCTATTCCGGCCGAAATAGATATGGCCGTTAACGGCCAAATCTCGCCTAGATCTGGCCGATAATGGCTAGGAGATCTAGCCGTTAACGGCCAAATCTGCCTAGATCTCGCCGATAATGGCTAGGGATCTGGCCATTAACGGCCAAATCTGGCAAATGGCCATATCGAAGCCTCTTGGTCATGGTGAGTTGCTGATGGGGACTTTCGGAGACTTCCGACGGTGGTCTGCGGTGGCGGTAGGAGGTGGGGGTGATTTCGTAATAAATTAAAATTTTATATAAGCAGGGGTGTTTTAACTAAATCTGAAATATTGGGGGTTAAAAGAAATTATTCAAAAATTAATAATAAAAATGATATTATATTAATATTTGTAAAGGGGACAATTTAGTAATTTAAATAACATACCCACCAATTTATTCCCCATAACCAACCATATTAATATAATATACCCACCAACTAACCAAACACATTTTCTTAAAGATTCCCAATAATCTTTCAAGGTAATCTATCTTTCCAGTAATCCAACATTCCCAGTAATCTAACATTCCTGAACCAAACGCCCCCTAAAGATTACCAGGAATATTTAGAGAAATATGTTTGATTAATTGAAATAAATTAGTGGGTATATTATTTAAATTACTGAATTGCCCTCTTATTAAATATTATTATTTAGATTACTAAATATAATCCCCTACACTTAAAAACTTAGCAAAAACAACCCCATAATAAAAGTTTGGAAAATCAACGAATGCCCACCAACCCAGCCACTACCAACCGCCGGCAACCACCATCGGCCGCTAGCTTCCGACAATCCAACAGCACACGGTTGGTCGTAAATGGCATCTGTGTGCCGATATGGCCATTTGTGACCATATATATGGCTATATGGCTAGAAATGGCCAAATTGTGACAGATCTGGCCGAAAAATGACCATAATAGATCTAGCCATTTTTACCCATCAATATGGTCGAAAAACTGCCATATCGACTCCTGGCAACTTCCGACGGTGGTTGGCCAGTTGCCAGCGGTGATGGTCTACAATTTGTCTTAAATATAAGGGTATTATTGTCCAAAAACTTAATTAAATAGGGATAAAATTGTAATGGCAGATTAATGTAAATTGTTTTTAAAGCAAGGGCATTATTGTCCAAAAATTTTATTAATAAGGGGTAAAATTGTAACAAAAATAAGATTACCAAGTAATCTTAAAATATCTAAGAAAATGGAAATAATCAGATTACCTCTTGGGAGCGTTTGGTTCAGGGAATATTATATTACCGAGGAATGTTATATTACTGGAAAGATAAATTACTAGGGAATCTTTAGAGAAATGTGTTTAGTTGGTTAGAATAAATTGGTGGGTATGTTATAATAATATGTTTAGTTGGGAGGATAAATGAGTTGGTATGTTATATAGATTACTAAATTGCCCTCCTTTTTGAATAATAATATAATATTATTTTTATTATTATTTTATTCTATTATTTCTTTTAACTCCCTATATTTGAAATTGTACTAAAACACCCCAACCATATAAAACTTTAATTTGTAGTAAAATCACCCCCACCTACCACCGCCGGTAGCCGCCGTAATGGCATAAGACCAATCGGATCTGGCTGGTCGTGGGCCGGTAAGGCCTAATCCGGCTAGATCTGGCCGTGAATATGGCAGTTTCACTACTGATTTGGCCGTGAAACGACCACAAATCTGGCCATGAAAAGGCCAGATCTTTGGCTATGAAACGGCGACCATTTCACAGCCAGATCTATGGCGTTTCACGATCACACCTTTGGCCGTGAAATGGCCAGATCTGGTCATTGCGGGCCATAGATCACAAATCTATGGCCGAAAAAATCCTTACTAGTACACAACCGAAAAGATCCCACCGGTCTTGTGTCGATATGATGACTTTCGCTGACGGCCAGCGGTGGTGGCTAGCGGCCGACGGTGGTCTTGGGTAGTTGGAGGTATTTTATTAACTTTTAAACTTTTTTGTGGCGAGGGTGTTTTAGCTAAATTCTCAAATATAGGGGGTCTAGACAATTGTTATTTGGTAGACATATGAGGGCAAATGTGTCCGAAATGATAAAAGATTAAGGGCAGAATGGGGTCAAAATTAAGATTACCTCGATAATCTTATATTAACAACCCCTATGAAAGTAATCTGATTACCTTCAATATTACCAACAGTAAACACTATTTGCAATAAAAGATTACGTAATATTTTATTACTTGACAACTAAACGAATGAATCTTGAAAATTAAACAAAGATCACAAGATTAATCTTATATTACCTTGAACCAAACGCAACCCTTATATTACCAATAATAACTACTATTGGTATTGGAAGATTATCGGAATCTTATATTACTTGACAATTAAACATGGTAATCAAGTAATATAAAATTACCTTACCTTAGTAATATCATATAACCCTTAACCAAACGCACCCTAAGGGTTGGCCTCGCAGCCAATGCCCTCTTCGTTGATTTCCTAGGTTCAAATCACCTTAAAACTATCTACTATATTTGTGACTTACTTTGAAATATTAAGTTTGTAGGGTGTTTAATACGCTCCGGGATTAATCGAGTGATGCATTAGCTAACCTG